GGGGGGGGGTGGAGAGAATCTAGAAAGCAGGGCTTCTAGGATGTAATTTTTTTTTTTTCCCCCTTAACCCTTCCAACGGTAATGCCTTTTATTGAAATGGTCAGGAGTGGCAATTTCCTGAAGGCACCTGTGCCTTAGGAATCGGGGAGGGTTGTCACAAAAGCCAGTAAAACCCCTTTACGACTGAAAACGATTATCAGTAAGTAGCTAGCACACAGACTGCTCTGAAAAGCCATTAAAAAAAATTCTATAGCCCTTTCCAGCTTCCAAGAATTACAGTCATCTTTCTTCAACTTGAAGAATGTGAGGTTGGAAATTTTGCCCTCACACTGTTCATGTCACATGTTCCTTTATATAAAAAAAAATTAGCCTCCACAGTTCATCACATTCAAACTTCATAAACACTAACTCATTAATATAAATTAAGGATACTTTATCTGCTTCATATCCACGTTTTTCTGCCAAAATTTGATCACACAAATTAGGGATTGGCCTTGTGGGACATTTGCTTCAGCGCTACAGTTATCTACTGCTTACTAGCAGTGAAAGAAGCAGCCATTTGATCTGCATAACCACTGTGTGATCCAATGTTACTATCTTTATAACGCTCTAACAATAAGTTTATTTTTGTAAGTCAGGGACAGAATTCCTCAACTGCTGAACAGTAGCCTTATTCAGCTCCAGAAAAAAATGAGGAACTGGTAAAGCAGAGTTATACAAATGGTGGGCATAATTAGAAGTCCAACATTATTTCCATAACAAGTCTTCCACACAAAAAAACCACCCAGGGATATTTTTTCAAGTTGCCGTGAGAGACTATCAAAGATTTCTTAAATTCCATTCCTCTCTCAGAAAGGACAGGCCATTTCTTTCTTAAAGTACTATTTTCTCAGAGTCTGTCTGGCATTTACATACCAATTTATGTCTTGTTCATAATATTCAGAGTTATAACATAAGGTAATACAACTGATACCTGTAAATGACTACTGTTGTCCTTGTTAAAGGTGTCCTGACACACTTTTTAGACAACCAAAAAAATGAGTCTAAATAAATCTTTAACCCCACATACATGTGAAATGATCAAATTCTTCAGATTTCTTTGCAGTCCGTTAATCAGTTCTGCTGAAAGTATTTTTTCCAAAACATGCACACATGTGAGAACTTCACATTTCATTTAGAATATACACATTTTCGTTATGAAACTATTCAAAAGTTAGTTACTGAATTAGAGTAACTGAATAGATGGGGTCTTATCATCAGCATTTTATAACTCTAAGGATCACCTGGAATCACTACACTTTTTTTAAAGAAAATGCATGATGCATGTTGAAAGCTGTAAGTATACTGAAGTACAGTGCATGGTTCTCTCTGGAGAATACTCATTACTAAAGCTCAAACACTGTTTGAACCCACCTATTTTTCATTCTGACAGAGTCCTTTATGTATTTTTCACTGGTGTTTTTTTTTTACTTTTTGCTATGCAAGTGTGGGAGGTTTTTTTGCTACCGGTGTGATAAGTATAGTATAGTACAGAGCTAAAGCAGAATAAATGTCATGCAAAACCAGATCTTTGAATTCCGTGCAACATCAATTTTGGGTTTGTTTTTTTGTTGTCAAAATAAACAAACACCAAATTAGTTCTCCTTCTACAACCAAAAAATAAATTGGAATAATGACAGAAAAGATAGAAGTGGTATGGGAACGCCCCCCCCCC